AACTATCCGGAACACTTTTGGTGTCCGAATAACATGGTCCAATATATCAATCTTTATGTCTCGACCATTTCGAGACTCCTCGTCGTGTCTGTGATCACATCTGGGACTCCGAGCAACCTTCGGTATATCAAATCACATAACTCACAATACATATCATCATCGAACGTTAAGCATGCGGGCCCTACGAGTTTGAGAACTATGTAGACATGACCGAGACACATCTCCGATCAATAACCAATAGCGGAACCTGGATGCTCATATTGGTTCCTACATATTCTACGAAGATCTTTATCATTCAAACCGCATAACAACATACGATGTTCCCTTTGCCATCGATATGTTACTTGCCCGAGATTCGATCGTCGGTATCATCATACCTAGTTCAAACTCGTCACCGGCAAGTCTCTTTACTCATTCCGTAATGCATCATCCTGTGACTAAGTCATTAGTCATATTGCTTGCAAGGCTCATAGTGATGTGCATTACCGAGAGGGCCCAGAGATACCTCTCCGATACATGGAGTGACAAATCCTAATCTCGATCTATGCCAACTCAACAAACACCAACGAAGACACATGTAGAGCATCTTTATAATCACCCAGTTACATTGTGATGTTTGATAGCACACTAAGTGTTCCTCCGGTATTCAAGAGTTGCATAATCTCATAGTGATAGGAACATGTATAAGTTATGGAGAAAGCAATAGCAACAAACTAAACGATCATAGTGCTAAGCTAAGGATGGGTCTAGTCCATCACATCATTCTATAATGATGTGATCCCGTCTATCAAATGACAACACATGTCCATGGCCAGGAAACTTGACCATCTTTGGCTAATGAGCTAGTCAAGTAGAGGCATACTAGGGACACTCTGTTTGTCTATGTATTCACACATGTACTAAGTTTCCTTTAATACAATTCTAGCATGAATAATAAACATTTATCATGATATAAGGACATATAAATAAAAACTTTATTATTGCCTCTAGGGCATATTTCCTTCAGCAGTAACTGCCTGACCCATCGTGGGGTGTGCTTATGCAATAAGGTTGTCAGACTAGGTGGCACTATTCACACCTACGTGGACAGCCTTCGAGGCTAAGTTATCCAATCTCTTCGGGTGAGGTATGAGCTTGACTATGTCTTGTTTAACGCCGCTCCTTTAAAGGGAGATCCGGGAGTCTTGAAGTTGCAAAGGTGAACTTGTCTGTCAAGCCAAGGACTTCAGATCCGTGGTCGTGTTCATCAAGGGGATCGTCCTTGGCATAGAAGACCAGTTCGGGGGCTACTGGCGGTGTCCTGGACTAGGAGGTACTAACCTAGTCGGCCCATGCTCCTCAGATTGAGCTAATGGGCCCTCATTCTTCGCAAGATGGACTCCAGAAGCTGCATGATGGGGCGTGATTAGGACTTCATCCGCCAAAGACTTGTCGTATACACCAAGACTTCTCCTGCCGCCTCCATGCCAAGATACCGACCTTGTAACCCTAGATACCCTACCTGGCGTGTATATAAGCCATAGGGTTTAGCCTGTAGAGGGGACATCAGCGCAATCTCATTCACCTAACCCTAGAGTTAGAACACATCTTACGATCTCGGGGTAGATCAACTCTGTACTCAATACATCCATATCAATATAAACAAGAAGGACGTAGGGTCTAACCTCCATCAAGAGGGGCCAAACCTAGGTAAAACATCTTCTCTTTGTTCCTGTTACCGTTTGTCCGAGATCCTCAGCTCGAGACCCCCTACCCCGAGGTCTGCCGGTTTTTACACCAACAACAGCCCTGTTGGCAGATGTCGGGGAGGCGGAGTCGCACTCTCCGGCGTCTCAATGGATGGCTTGTAACCCCGAGCGCCGCAACCGTGTCATGGTGGACATGGCCTCCGACCACGACGGATCCTTCATGGACCTCACATCGACCGGCACCGTCAAGGCTCTGGACTCCGACAAGGAAGAGTAGGACATGGGAGACCGTGGAGCCTCGAGTCCCGTGAGCCGGTGCATGTCTCATGTCCTACTCTACCTCGCCGCGACCGGAGAAACACTTCGAGGGGCGTAGCCGGCCGCCGGACATGGGCACGGCTGGCGCTGATGAGTTCCGCTTAGATTATGTTGCATGTGATTGTATGGATTTGAGGTTTCTTAATTGAGGTATCCGGTTGTGGAGAGATTTTTTTTGAGGCGTGACCGGTCACTGGACGCGTCAACTGGCGTTTGAGAGTTCGAATTTGGTGTATCCGGATGTAGATGCTCTTATGAACACAAAATTGTTGAAAGAGGTGGGTGGTCAGCATTAGCAAAATCAACTGAAATGTAAGGAACGGTGACTCAAAGTTGGCAAGTACTGTACTCAAGTAATTATTTCCAAACTTACCATGAGGTATTACACGTACTACTATACAACAGTGTGATTCCAACCATTTGAGATCGATTAGCCATGGCCCGTGACTGAGCACCTTGCAATACGTTAGCATATACGAAAAGCATGGTCGAACCTATCAGTTGTTTGTGATCATGCCAAGGTCAAGCATAGGCCACCCTGCCGCGGCCGCCAAGTGTCGGGGGCGACCGGTCCCCGCTGCAGCTCGACTCCGGGCTGTACAGTTCCCTCTGCTGCGCCGCACGATCACCGTTGTTACTCGTGCTCCAGCCGGAGCTGGCCGTCGAGCCCCCGCAGAGCGCCACCGACCCGGACCGGCTCCGGGCGTGAGCTCTCGGGGCGGCTGGCGGCGCCATGCGGGCCTTGGCGCGCGCCGACTGCGTCGCCGCCATGTACCCCGGAACCAGCCCGGCGCGCACCGGGTACAGGTCCGTCGGAGGGCTCTTCCTGCTCGGCTCCATCTCCACGGTCCTCTCCGAAACGCCTTCGGTGGCCGTGGCCGTTGCCGCCGTCACGTACGACGTTTCCGCCGCCGCCAAGTGCTGGTTGGCCTGCTCCGGCGGCGCACTGTTGGGCGCCATGCAGCGCTCCAGCCAGTGCCAGCCGGCCTCGCGCTTGTCCAGCTCGTCGCGCTCAAGCTGCATTTGTTCGTGATGGAATTTCATCTGTAAACTAAAACTAGTACTGTATTACAATTTGTTTAGCCGAAAGATGTACAGAGAGATGGCAGGGAAGACGGACCTTGTGCTGCTGGAAGTCATGCGCGTAGGCAGGTGGGAACGCCAGGGCGTCGTCATGCCGGCGCAAGGCTCCGGCCCGGGTGACGGCGTCCCACCCGTCCTGGAACGGGCTCAGGTTGCCGATGCTGCCGTGCCTGTTTCTTGGTCGCCGTACCTGCGCCGCCGTCTCCGCGTCCTCCTCGTCCTGGTGGTCATCGAAGAAAAGGCGGTCATGCCCGTAGGACTGCCGACGGGCACCTGGCGCGGGGACGACGGGGGCGGGACGGCCACGCGTGGCGACGTGGGAGGTGAGGCGGCGGGCGCGGACGCGGTCCTGCGCGCGGACGAGGGCCTGCATGCAGCGCATGGTGTGATGGACCTGGCGACGCACCTGGTGGCCGCGCACCAGCGCCTGCAGCCGCACCAGCCCGCGTAGAGCGCGCAGGGCTCTCCTCGCCTGAACACAAGCACAATGTTACACAAGCACAATATTTTTCTGTTTGATTTGTGAAGAATTCGTTACAGTTTCAACTTTCAATAGCATTCAACTACTAACCAAGTCCACGCAAAAAAAAAAAAACTACTAACCAAGTCAGTAAGTACTAGTACTTTCTACGGCCAGATCACAGCATCTAACCACTGCATGCAACTTATAAATTCGAAGAAATACATTCCTAAAATACAGAAATCAGATCTTCCTGTTTATTCATTCCAAATGGAGTAAGATATTAAGTACACAAAAGTGAATTTAACGAAAAATCTCTAGTACGCGGTGCAGATGCATCAGCATGTGGAGCATAAATGGCACCGCATGGAGGAGGTGAGTCGGTGTACGTGACGCCAACTACTTGACGGTGATCTAATCATAATTTCTCACACAAAGCCCACTTTCTAATGCCCTTAATCGCAAGCAATGCAGATACCTGCATGCCTTTTAGCTTAGTCACTGTGTACACAAGTGCCCTTAACCAGAGCAAAGCTTCGTTTTCACCCTTAAAAAAAAGAAAAAAACTTCGTTTACTACTACTCCCGCCGTCCCGTAATACAAGAGCGTTTTTTACACTAATGTAATGTTAAAAACGCTTTTATATATTATGAGACGGAGGGAGTACTGGTAAGTCGCTATCGAGCCACGGTACCATAAGGTCAGCTATTGGGTACTGCTAGCTAGATGAACTTGCTTTTTTAATAAAAAAAAACATACAGTCTCCTAACCGGCCTCGTTTGAACTGTTTTCGAAAGAGAGAGTCCTGCCGCAGATACATTTTTTCGTCTGAGCAAATGCACATTTGGGATAACTTCGGACGAGAGATACTGCGTACCAAGTATCCCCGGTAGAATGCCTGGATGCGCACGGCGGCGCGGTCCTCCCTGCCGGCGGCCCTCTCGCGCAACGCCGCGAGCCTCGCCATCCTCGACGCCATTGCGCGGCGCGCCCTCCTGGCCTCCGCCTCCACCCCGCCGCCCTCCCGCGCCCACCCGGCGACGGAGCCGCCGCTGCCCTCATTGGTCAGCTCAGGCGACGTGTCGGTGGCTGGGAAGTGCTCGACGGACAGTATCTCCGCTGCCTCCTGCTCCTCGCCTCCCAGCCCCTGCCGATCCAACGACCACCCATCAGCGTGAGTGACAAGGATTAACGGTGTATGAGAAGCAGGATCGCACGGACCTTGTTGGCGTGGCGCGAGTCCGTGGCCAGGGAGGAGGAGGGGCTGGTCTTGAAGACCTTCCTGACGGTGGCCAGCCAGCCGGCGCCGCCGGGCTTCTTGCCCATGTAGTACGCGGCAATGCGTTGCGGGGGCGCTTTAATTTGATTCGGTGTAGCTCGATCGATGGTCGATCGATCGCGCGGTCAAGGGAGATGATGCATGGGATTTGCCGTACGAGGCGGGAGGTGGTGTGGGTGGTGAAGGGACAATAAGTGCAGGCGCGCCGCGCGCGAGAGTGCCGTGACCGTGAGGGCGCCTGTGGGGGCGGTCGGTACAGGAGCGGCTTTATCGCGCAGCGTCACGGGGCCCGCGCTGTACTTACGTACCCTACGTGCATGCAGCAGCGGCGCCGCGGTTTGTAATTGGACGGGAAGAGGCGGAAACTCCATGGTGCTCAATCACCAGGTGAGTTCAACACCGGCATCTTTGCTATGGAAGGCCGCAGAGGCATTCGTCACCACCTGTTACTCGGGAATTTTACAGAAGTATGCTTCTAGGTCCTGTGGCATTTCTTTTTCCCTCCCTACAATTTGTTATAATAACCGGGCTTGGTGTTAGCGTCCCTCCTACACCTGAGCAGAGGAAAGCCGGAGTGGCAGCCAGGGGTGAAGCCAGGATTCGGACATAGGGGGGGCGAAGGAGACATGATGATAGATTATTCTAGATAATATACATAGTCTGCCGAGTACAGTGATTTTTGGACATAAGCTAGAATGAAAATGAAGATAACATGTAGAGTACTAGAGTGTATAATAAGGCTAAAGAGTCATGATTTCTTTGTTATTGCAGAAAAATAGACAACAAAAAGGGATAATTAGTTATTAATTTTGCGCCTTTTGATAAATATACGATCTTTATCTTCTACTCCCTCTGTATCAAAATATAAGATGTTTTTTGACAGTATGACGGAGGGAGTATGTAAGTAAATTGTATGGCTTATAAAAATCAATGTAGTAACCAGTAAATGTATAAATGTTGTAACCAGTAATCAATCTAAAAAGTAGACTGTATACAGCTTTACCTTGATTAGATCAAGATGTGTAGACATAATTAACGAACAACAATGCCCAGATGCCGTGGCGCGGCGGCAGAGTGTTGCTTCGAGAGCGCCAACGATCCAGTCAGTGTGAAATCCATCACGGCATGTCGCAAGCATTCTTGAAGGGCCACTGAGATTGAAAAGAGATAGTTGTATTAGACTACCTTTTAGGCTTCAGGTGGTGTATATGTCATACCTTCAGGTTTCAGACTGCAACGAACCAGCGATCGAATTCACGCGGCAGTTCCCTTTCTTGGTGGACTGGCGGCAGCGAGGCGGCGGCACTAGGGTACTAATAAGAGAAGATCTATTTTTTTGAGTAGATAGATGGGAACTAAAGAGAAGATAGAAATTAAATTATCAGTGTACCCTCGTCCAAACCAGATGGCCTAGGGCCTAGGGCCTCGTAGGTATATACACATGGCCAGATACCCCTTTGCTTTTCGTTGGGCCATGTAAGTCTGTTGGGCTTAATCCCTAATTACTCATAGTATTAGCCGATGTAAATCCATAGGGGGGGCGAAGCGATGGGGGGTGTCTGACCCCTGCTGGCACCCCCTTGTCTCCGCCCCTGGTGGCAGCAGGCCGGCCCAGGAGGGAAAGGAGGCCGTGCCACAAGTTTACTGGACCTCAGTGGGTCTCTTACATGTTCGGCCCAAAGGAACCCGTCACGAGCTGATACAAGTAGGTGTAGCGAGTAGCTTAGGGTATCCCGGCCAGGATCAGGCAGCGGCGGCGTGTGTGTGTATCTTTGTAATCCTGATCCCCTGCTCATCTCCTTCCTCCAGTGTACTACTACATGATTGAGATCATCATAATTAAGAAGAGAAGAACTAGTGTGTTCCTAACACGTGGTATCAGTCGCCATCCCACCCCTCTTCCGCACTGGAGACGCGCAAGCAGACCGCCGATCGTCAACGACTTCTCGCCACCATGGATCCGGCCCTCAAGTCCTACCTCGACAAGCTCACGGAGACCTTAACGAAAGCCAACAAGGACACCCAAGCTGACATCAAGGACCTCTCAACGCGGATCGACTCCCAATCCGCGCAGGTGGACGCGCTTACGGCATGGAAGCCAGACCTCGAGCCCCGTCTCTCCAAGCTCCAGGAGACGGTGGGCATGCTCCAGAGCGAGCGGATGCCCACGCCGAACGCGACAGATGGTGGATCAAAGGGGGTGGATCTCTCTGATCCGCCGCTCCACGGCATGGTCCATGGGCCCGCTGGCCGCGGCAAGTCGCATCAACTACGGGGCAGGTCGTCGGCGGGAGGCATCCCGACGGCGGCCTCTCCGGCCAATGGTACGCTGAGCTTTCACAACCCTCCCCTGTTCCCCGTGGTAGACACCTCTATCACACCTGGTTCTGCTTCGTCCCTTGTTCATACCGGACTGGGTCCAAATTTCCCACCTATTGCGTTTCCCCAATTTTCGGGTGAAAATCCCAAAATCTGGAGAACCATGTGTGAACAGTATTTCTCTATGTTTCAAATTCCAGAGCCCTATTTTGTTCCCATGTCTACATTACACTTCATGGGTCCTTCGGCTATCTGGCTGCAATGGATCCAGGGGAAGCTGAGTTCCCTCGATTGGGAGGCTTTGTGTGCTCTGCTTTGCGCGCGATTTGGTCGCGATAAGCACCAGCTACTTATCCGTCAATTTTACGACATTCGCCAAACGAGCTCTGTCTCTGATTATATTGAGCAATTTGAGAATCTTATGCATCATCTCATCTCTTATTCTGATGCTGTGCACCCACTGTATTTCTTGACGAGGTTCATTGAGGGCCTAAGCATGGACATCCGTGCCGTGGTGATGGTGCAGCGGCCCAAGGACTTGGATACAACTTGTGCCCTCGCGATTCTACAAGAAGAAGTTGCGGAGGGATAGAGGGGGACCTGGTACAACAACCATGAAGGGGCGCCTCCTCTGGGTCATGCTCGCTCAACATGTCCTCTGCCGTTGTCCCCCCTCCACCGCGGGCACCGACTATCTCACCAACAGCGGATGATCGTCGCGGCACTGAGGCAGCCCGCGCGGGGAGCGATCAATCCAAAATCATAGCCCTGCGCAACTTTCGTAGAGCCAAAGGATTGTGTTTCAAGTGTGGAGAACGGTGGGGTCATGATCATGTCTGCCCACCAACAGTTAAACTCCATGTGATTGAGGAAATGCTCAGGTTGTTCAGCATAGATGCTCAGGAAGAGGGGGCAGCAGTTACTGAACCACAACAGGAACAACACGATGCAGCAGAGAAAGTGTGGCAGCTGTCTATCAACGCCGTATCGGGTACTGAGGCATCCAGTTGTTTGCAGTTACACGGCTGGCTCCAGGGCGAGAAGTGCTCATGCTGGTGGACTCCGGTAGCTCAACTTCATTCGTTTCGCAGCACTTGTTACCTCATTTGCAAGGGGTCCAGTCTATGCCCAAGTCTATCAAGGTTGTTGTAGCCAACGGATCAGAATTGTGGTGCACCCAGGAGGTGCTAGGCCGCTCTTGGTTTGCCCAGGGACACGTGTTCTCAACCAATTTCAGATTGCTTCCGTTGGGCTCTTATGATGTTATACTGGGTATGGATTGGCTGGAATACCACAGCCCAATGCTCATCGATTGGCCAAAGCGGTGTATGCAAATTGCGCACAACGGATTCACAGTGGTACTGCAGGGGGTTACTTCCCAGGCACACAAGTGTGAGATTCTGAATGCGGTGCAGTTAGCAAGTATGGAAAAACAAGAAGCAGTCGCCTATGCGGTCCACCTGTGTTATGCCCAGGATTCAGAGAACATCACTGACATATCTTGCACCGAGCTGCCACCAGAAATAGCCAAGGTACTGCTGGAATATGAAGATGTATTCATGGAACCTATTGGACTGCCACTGAGGGAGTCCTGGATTAGGGGGTCCCCGGACAGCTGGACTATATCCTTTGGCCGGACTGTTGGACTATGAAGATACAAGATTGAAGACTTTGTCCCGTGTCCAGATAGGACTCTACTTGGCGTGGAAGGCAAGCTAGGCAGTACGGATATGGATATCTCCTCCTTTGTAACCGACCTTGTGTAACCCTAACCCTCTCCGGAGTCTATATAAACCGGAGGGTTTTAGTCCGTAGAATAACATACAATCATACCATAGACTAGCTTCTAGGGTTTAGCCTCTCCGATCTCGTGGTAGATCAACTCTTGTAATACTCATATTATCAAGAATAAATCAAGCAGGACGTAGGGTTTTACCTCCATCAAGAGGGCCCGAACCTGGGTAAAACATCGTGTCCCCTGCCTCCTGTTACCATCCGCCTTAGACGCACAGTTCGGGACCCCCTACCCAAGGTCCGCCGGTTTTGACACCAACATTGTTGTTTTCATTGAGAGTTCCTCTGTGTCGTCGCCGTTAGGCTTGATGGCTCCTATGATTATCGATAACGATGCAGTCTAGGGTGAGACTTTTCTCCCCGGACAGATCTTTGTGTTTGGCGGCTTCGCACTACGGGCCAACTCGCTTGGCCATCTGGAGCAGATCGAAAGTTACGCCCCTGGCCACCAGGTCAGGTTTGGAAGTTTAAACTACACAGCCGATATCTGCGGAGACTTGATCTTCGATGGATTCGAGCCTCTTCCTTGTGCGTCACGCAGTCACGATGAGTACGATTTAGCTCTACCATCAAACAGTGTTCAGGAGATCGCACCAGTAGCCGCTCCGACCCTCAATTCGGAGCCAGTTGCGCCGTCCATGGACGGGTGGATGGACCCCGCCACAGAGGCCTTACCCTCAGCGGCAATCGAGCCAAACATCGACCTTACCCTGCATGAGAGCCGTGTCGTCAGACTACCGGATCCTTCTCCGGCCATGGACTCCGAACCGCCTGCGCCCGTTCCTAGCGAATCCGATTGGGCGCCGATCATGGAGTTTACCTCCGCAGATATTTTCCAGCACTCGCCCTTCGGCGACATACTGAACTCATTAAGGTCTCTCTCCTTGTCAGGAGGATCCTGGCCGAACTATGTCCGGCAGGATTGTGATGCGGA